CCTGGAGCGCCCTTCGGGTGGGGCTCCCTGCGGTGAGGAAACGAGGCGTGGTTCCGGGTTCGCCCCTTCTGGCGGGGCGGGGCGGGGATCGTTCAACGGGGCGGGGGCGCTGGTGCAAAGCGGAAGGACGAAACCCTCCGAGCAGAAGCATCGCGAGCGGGGCGAACCACTTCTGCAAGGCTCTATTTCCCTTGGCTTTCCCTTGCGCTTCGCCGTTGAATAGGCTGTTGTTTTCCAGTGCGTGACTCTCGATGGGATTTGCTTCTTGAGCTGGAGGCGTCGGGGATCCTGCCGCTCCTAGCACTGCAGACGCGGCCGAACATGTTCCTTTTCCTACCTCTCCTTCTCTCCCGAGACTGCAGTACAGAATCCCTCTAATCTCCCTTCAAAAAGGAACTTGATAGAGACCCCCTCCCTTTCAGAGTCTTACCCTGATAATCAAATTATCATTCGTCCTTATTTAAAGGAGGTTTTTTTTTTAATTTAAAAATTAAAAAGGAAAGAATTCTCCTAGAGAATCTAGGGAAAATATTAAAAAGAAAAGACAAAAAGGAGTATCAGAAATACTGCATCTTAAATAAAGGAGAAGAGTGACCTCATGGATACGTAAAAAAAAATTGGGGGGGGTTAAATTACTAGTTTCTCCAGCTTTGGATTTAAATAAATCAATAAAAGCAAGGAACCCAAACAAGAATTCTTAAAAAAGATGTTATGTGTTAAGTGTAGATAATGCTTAAAAGGATTTTTTTCGTTGGGAAATTTTAAAAAAATATGAAAATGATAAATATGATCGTTAAATATTAATACGCATACAAAACACATATGAAGTTTTCTTGCAGACATACTTGTTACTTCTTCCTGTTGATACTTATTACCTGTAGATGACAAAGAAACCATATAAAATGCACAAGGTACTTCTTTCCCAGTGTATCCCCACCTGTGGTAACCGTTACGCTGGATGTTTCAATAATGCTGTTGTGGAGGATGCAGTATATATATTGTTTTATAAGTTATGTTTTTGTGATTTTTTTTTTTGAAAATTAAGAGCATGGGAATAAAAAAAACCTCTTGAACCTCTTTGTCTTCCTTTCTAGCTACATACTATCTAGATCACCCTTCCTCAATGTGGCACTCCACAGATGTGTTCAGACCATAGTTCCTCTCATCCGCAGCCTGTATATGCATGCTGGTTGAAGATACTGGGATTGATAGCCCAGCACATCTGGTGAGGACCATTTGGGGGAAGATCCCTATTGATCTAATTTAAAAACAAATCTTTGAGAATATTTTTTAAATGATACTTTAATGTTATAATTTGGTACTTTCAACACACACACAGAAATCCCAAACTGTAAACGTTACAGCGAGACAACATAAACAAAAATAAAATGATAGTGGTCCGTTCATCAAGTAAAACACTGTCACAGTAACTTTCACACTTCCGGTTGAAACCCACAGATTTCACCATGAGGTTGGATGCCAGAACACTGACTTACCTTCTCAAGGATTTCCCCTCCAAACTCAGAATGGGGGTGTCCAACTTCAAAGAAGGAAATCCAATACCAGATTCCTGCCCCTGTAATTAACCCTTCTAATCTCAACAGACTCCGGTTTGAAAGCCCCAAAAGAGATGTAGGGGAAGGTGAAGCAGAGGTATTCCAGAGCAGATGGAACTGGCTGTCCAGTTCCATTTTTGCAGGCTTCAGATTATGCCACCTGACCAGATTTTTAGCAGCAGACACATGCAGAAAGTGACCCCACTGACTTTGTGTATGTAGATTTTCAAAGTTCCTCATCAAAGGCTCCTGAGTAAACTTAGCAGAAATGGGAGCCGAGGATTTGTCCTTTTATGGATTGTTAGCTGGCTAAAAACAAGAAAATAAATGATAGAAATAAATCAACAGTTTTCTCAATGGTGTAAGAAGTGATATCATGAATGATTTTAATTTATGGGTGAGCAGTGAGATGGCCAAGTTTGTATGAATAGCAAACCATTCAGGTTAGTAAAAGCCAAAAGGATCTATTTAAACATGATGAATAGTCAACTATACAGCAAGTGTAGTTCAGTGTATAAAGTGATGCACATTGGGACCAGACAAAAAAAAGCTCCACCAGATTCTAATTTCATGTATACACTGATGGGATCTGAATTGTCTCTAAGCAATTAGGAAAAAGATTATGAAGCCATACAGGATAGCACAATGAAGACACCAACTCAGTATGTAACAACTGCAAGTATATAGAACTTTATTGGTTCCCATACCCATACGTAGGTGTTCCTGTTTTCAAACCCTTTGTAATTCATTTACCTGTTAACACATGACAGTAAGCCAGGCTTCCCTAACCTTGATTTAATCACACAACATGCAAAGCTGTAAAGCATTATGCCTGGATTCACACAAAACTTTAAGCTATAATGTGGCTTAGCAGGTAGTTTAGTGCGCTGTGTGAACCAGCCATTGACAAACAAAAGCTACCTATTTCCAGTCTGTTGACTCCACAATATTCCATAGTATATCTATAAACTTCTAGCATCTAGATAAAAAGTACTGTATATTGAAATTTGCAAAGATAAATTCTACCTTACTAGCCTTCTAGAGTTTTTGAAAGTGCCAGCAAGTACATGTACCAGGGGTCATCCAGTGAAGCTGATCAGACAAAAATAATCCACATAGTACATAATTAAACTTTGGAATTCATTAGTACAAAACATGGTAATGGCCACTAACTGGGAAGGAGATTGGATGAATTCATGGAAGACAAGTCTGTTAAAGGACATTAGTCTTGAAGATTCAACATTACCTCATTACGTCCAACTTGAGGGCAACATGTCTTCAGATACCAGTTCCAGATACCACCTGCTTATGAGTACCTCAGAGGCATTGAGATAAATAAAAAGCTGGACTCAAATGAGCCTTAACCTGATCAAATAGGACAGGTCTTATGACTAAAAGCAAGTTGTAAAGGATGTGGGTTTTACATCCTTTACATCTTGAACCAAATATTTTTTTTCAGACAAGATTAACTGCTGAAACTACCTGTACAAATATAATGACTCCAAAGAAGTTAGCATTCTAAAGGTGAACACGCAAAAATATACATCTACTCAGAAATAAGCCTCCGTGATGTCAGTGGGACTTACTCTCAAGAAAAAGTTATCTAGCATTACAGCCCAACAGACTGAGGTGGTAATGTTAATCATATTCCCTTGAGAGATTTTTGGACTATAAACCCTTTGGTTGCAATATACATAAAGACATCAGTACAAAGGCAAAGATAGGTTGAGGAGGAGATTAAGGTAAAACCATGTCCTGCATTTTCCATATACTCTGCTTTAAGCCCTAGAAATAAATCACAGCCATCAACTATATGAACAAATTGGCTAGGATGATGACTGTCGCTTTTGCAGTAGCTGTTACAACTATTGTTACTCCAACATTGGAATTCACAAATAGGTGGTAGAGGCAGAACCTTTGGTTTCCATCTGAAAATATTGTTTTTTGGGTCTTGCTAATGTATTTTCAGGGAAGGAGCTTCAATCTGTGTGCAAATAAGTAATTTTAATCCCCTACACTTAGTGGACTTCCCAGAGTCCCCCTTCACGTGCTCGTGTACTATCGTCAGTGAAAAACCCATCGCTAAAATTTCTTCCTCATACCCACTGCTATGCTGTGCTTGACAACTACTGAATTTCCTAACAAAAGGAAAGAAAGAAAACACTCATGTTTTCAATTTGTGTAAATTGTAGCATTACTCTCAGTACAGAAACACAAGGGAGTTTGTTTTTGTTCTCTATACTGAACACGTTTACTTGGGAGCGCACATCCCTTTATCATAGATAAAAGAACATATTTTAGAAGTTCAAATAATAAAGTAAGCCTTTGTAGCCATGCACATGCCTGATTGGTCACCCTCCAATTATCAATATGTTAAGAAGATGAGGAAGGAAAAGGAGGAGAAAACGCTGGGATGACCAGGGGCCACCAAGGCTAGAGGAGAAGTCAAAGTCAAGGCCTCAACCGCCTGACAGACCCAAAAAAGAGGGCCTGCTTTTTGTGTTTTGGCTACCCTTTTCCATCTCTGCCTAGCAACTGCAATGACACATTTGCAAAGCACTGAAGGGATTGCTTTGTTTCTTTTGTTCAAAACAATATTTTTTCACAGAGGATCTAGGTCCACAAGTTGCCGTCCCTGAGCAGATGCTTTGGAATACTGTCTCTGCCGTCCCTTTTTTTCCAAAAGGCCCATGTCGTAGGTGTGATTGTTATTTCTGAAGGGTGTTTGGGACTGGTGGAGAAACAAAGGGAGAATCCTTTCCACGCTTCCCATTTGCCCACTCTAAACCGTACATGTCCGGGCGTCTTTTCTCCCTGGGGAGTTCTAAATGCATTTCTTGGGATACACCCAGCTTTGTCAGCATGTTTTTGCAGGCATCCTTTGGCACGCTGCACTTTCTCCACTTCTGCTTGGGGAAGGCTGTAGTTTGGCTGGTGAGGGTTTCTGGGAAGGCGTTGAAATAGGATTCTATTTTAGGGCGGTGAGTGGTGTGTTTGTGAATGTTTTTTAATAACTTTGGGTTCTGTGCGTAACGAGAATCCACCTTGAAGCAGAGGGAGAATTAAAAAAATTATTCTTGTTAGCCTAACCAATGCATTAAGAAAGGAAAGAGGAAGTCTTCTTCAAAAATAACCTGGGAATTCAAAAGAGCAGAACTCAAAGCAAGCATCTATTTTGACCAGTTAAGCAGAAGAAAAGAAAAGGGCAAAGCTATGAGGAATTTGAGCAGCATAAGTAGCAACAATGCACTTTTCTTTCTGAACAAAATCAATTACAAAGAGGAAGCCTGCCAAAGAACTACTATAGTCGTTTTTAGACCACCCAGGTGAGAGAGAAGTACTTAAGCAACCCTCAGAATAAAAAGTGGAATGAATTCTTTTACCTCCACAAAAAATGCTTCTTTTGGGAAGGTTTTTCTGCCCTTTACACCATTATTTTTCAATTAAAGACCTAAATAGATTGCCCATAAAATGGCCTAAGGCTACCAAATCAGGCATCTTTCTTCTTAGGAATAACTACTCAATTCATCTATAACATAAATTCCAGATCCACATGTTAGCATCATTTTTTCCTTGAAAAGATTTTTCTGTAGCATAGGACAGGTATTAACCATGTATACAATCATTGTTGGTACAGAATTCAAGTATAGTTATTTGCAGAATCTGGAGAGCTTTTTGTTGTTCTTTTATTTAAATTACCATTATATTAGTTACCTCTTGCATTACATCCACATTTTCTCTGCATTCAAAAATGCTTTTGCAAATTAAGCTAAGGAGAGAGCTTTTTTAACCTCTGGAAATAGGAAAAGAAGCATCTGGTGAGAGAAAGCTTGGCCGCTAACTGGAATGGCACCAATTCAAACTATATTTATGCTTCTATTTTCAAATTATATAAATAAAATTGACTTTACTGATTAAAACAAGACTTTGTGAAAATATGTTATATCCCAATTGGCAAATAATGTGTGAAAAAAAGAATCTGATAACTTCAAAACAGCTTGAGATCCTAACTTATAAATCAAGGTTTACTCATTCAATTTTTGAAAATTAAATTACATGGTAATTTTGCAAACAAAAATAGTGTTTAGCAAACAACATTGAGAACAGCAGTTCCTACACATGCTTTGTATCTGTCCATTAACAGGAGTGTCTTTAGCTGCTCCAAAACATTTTTCTTTTCACACGCCTAGAAGGCATCAAAATTGCCTTGATGCGTGTGTGTGTGTGTGTGTGTGTGTGTGTACACACACACACACATAATATTTCTTTAAAAAATCCTAAAAACTACTTACATTTAAGACAGCTGCAAAATAAAACAGTTGCAGCTGCAACCATGTCATTTTCTTGTTTGTTTGTTTTACAGTTTTGAAGAAATGAAGAAAAGAAATTAAATGGACTCTTTTCACATGTTCTGAAAACCGTACATGTGTGGTGAAGGAACAGGACAGTATCTACTTTTCCCATCTCACAGTCCAGAGATTCATCGCCTGCACAAAGCCTGCAATAATTCTACCTTTGTGTATTATTGTTATTGTTATTATTATACTCCTGCCCCCTATTTTCCCCACAACAGCAACCCTGTGAGGTGAGCCGGGCTGAGAGAGAGGGACTGGTTCAAAGTCACCAGCTGGCTTTCGTGCCTAAGAAAGGACTAGAACTCACCGTCTTCTGGTTTCTAGGTCAACACCTTAACCACAACACCGAACTGGCTCTCATGCATTTCAAGATTATGGGATTTAGAGGTGGATGAAATTGCCTGCATTTGGAAAGTGTGTAAGCTTTGGTAAGTGTGTAATTCATGTAGAGTCCTAATGTTGTCACTGATTTTTGTGTGTCTAGAATTGCAAAATTAGCTGTTACCTTTTCCAGAATTCTAGATGTAATCTAATAACTGGCATTTGGGTTATTTTTAGTAAAAGTGTTGTGCAACTGGGGGCACAGATGCAGCCTTTATTCAGAGCCTGAAAGCCACCAATGACAGAAAAAATACTGTATCTCTGGGTCTCATTCATGCCACCTCCTATGTATATGAGACTTGTTTATAAGAGAGGGAAGAAAGAAAGAGAGAGAGAGAGAGGGAGAAAGAAAATGTGTATATAAAAAGGAGTTTGTTTTCCTCATATACAGTACTACATAATTCATTTAAACCTGGCACTCAGTTGAAATGTATGAGGATGCAATTTGTTGTGTGAGTTAAAATGCAATAGTTAAAAGCTAAATTAATTAAGAATAATAATATTCCTATTCAATTAACCCCTCACTTGTTTTAAAATCGTTTTATATCTTGGTGCTTCTTATTGCATAAAGCCCTGCCATTCAAAGCCTGATGCATGCAGTAACCCTGCATATGTCCTCCACCACAGATGAGTCCAGAGGTTAGACAGGTTCTGTGTATTGGCTGAATATCTTCCATCAAAGGAAGCCAGAATGGAATAATTTCAAGCATACATGCATTTCAACGCTTCGTTTTCCACTTCTTATTTTCTGTTTCTTTATCAAGAATCCTTTTGTTAAAAAATAACTTCTGCCTGGCTGTCTTAAAGATGTCGTCTCTTCCCCCATTCCTAAACTGCTACAGGTAGTTCCCAGACATTCGAGAAGGGGAAGCGATGATTACTAGAACGTCTGCTTTTTACCACTTCTCTTAATCAGAAAAAGAGATCCATGTAAGCAGTTCTGGTCCAATGCCACAATATACACTTCTAAGAAAATCACACAGTGAGTAAAAAATATGGATAATCTGCCTCAGCGTCCTGCCTATGGCAACTGTTGGTGCCGGATATTTTGGAACAATTATGAAATAATCCATTCCCATTCACTCATCTCTTTTACAAAGCAGAGATTTCCAAATACTTGAGTATGAAATTGCATCCCACAGTCATCTTGGCTCTCAGCCACTAAAGCATTTAATCACTATGAATTTGTTTAAATCTGTGTTGAATTGAATGATACAGCCTTAACAACATGCTTTGACAGTGGGTTCCAGAAGTGCTTACAGCATGGAACATGACCTAATTATTTTAAACCTGATACTTATTAATGTCATCATGTTCACCCTGGCCCTTGATTTATAGCAGGGGAGAAATAAGAGTTCTTAATTCATATCTTCCATACTATTTTTGATCTTTTATGGCTCTACTATATGGCTGAAATCTGATGATCTGTCAAAGGACAGTCTGTCAAATTTTCTGTGATGAAGACCCCATGTCAAAGAACTACTGAAACATGAAATTCAGCCCTATCACTTTTTATTTTGCACTCTGTAACAAAGTAATCAGCACATCCCACATGTATCCAGTAATCCAGTCTTAGTGCTTGAGATTTGCCAGCAGTCTTCAAGATAAATTTAAAGGCGTTGCTTGCTGCTAATGCAATTGAATATAAAAAGCACAATCCTGATAAGACCATTCAAGATTTTTTAATTAAAAGCTACATTAAAATGTGCAGAATAAAAGCAGTAGAAAATATTATAGTAAGTCAGTGTATCTCAACCTTGGAAACTGGCTGGGGAATTCTGGGAGTTGAAGTTCACACATCTTAAAGTTCCCAAGGTTGAGAAACACTGCAGTAAGTATTATCTTTTTATTTCTTTTATATCTTCTTTATTTTCTTGAGAACATCAATCATCACCACAAATCTAAGGACATTAGGCTGCAACCCTGTAGTTATTATCCACTGAATTAAACAGAGCTGTACTTCTGAGTAGATGTATATAGGATTACACTGATATGGTGCAAACCTTTGCATGTTTAATTTCAAAAGGGCTTACTTCTAAGACAGTATCTCACATCTGATGAAGCTTGCTTCACAGTGCTTTATCATTACTTGATGATTCAAGAGATGGCACTGGAAAGTCAAGAAATAAGTCCACAGTGGATGAGCAGCAGGGTAAGTCAAAAACTTTTCCCACTTCTGAATCCACTGCAAGAATCATATAATTGGTGCCAACAGTAGCATATATACAGAAATCTATCTATCTATCTATCTATCTATCTATCTATCTATCTATCTGTCTGTCTGTCTG